ATTCCCGCTGTTCTCACTGCATTTCGTCATAGACGTAATACTAATATTACGTCTATGATTTCGTTAACCCCGGATATCGTATATGTTATGATTGGGCATACTTCGCATCTGGCCAGCTGCGATACGCTCCATCGCGTAGTACCGGACTATTTTGCGGAGTTAGCCCTGCTATTTTGCAGGGTTAGTTAACCCCGTACTATAGGTGGGGTTAGCCAACTTTAGCCCACTTTGGTAAAAACCAGTCTGAACAGAAAGTGGAATAGGCTTAACCCCGTACTATAGGTGGGGCTAAGACCCCCCTTAACCCCACCTATAGTACGGGGTTAAGCAAAATATTGCCAGTGTGAAAACAGTATGAGAGAAACCAGAATCCCGAATCGGATCGAGGTCATCGAGAGAAGACAGAAGAGAAAGATCCTCAAATAACTGTTAACAGTGTAGATTTTTTAGCGTTTATTGTATTTGTGATTAATGATATGGAAAAGGAAACATCAAATTCAAACAGGATTCGATTAGTTGTAGAAGCAGCACATTGCTGCCTGGGTGTACAAACCATACATCCAGAAATGATTCATGAAAGGCTAAAATAATTACGGAGTATAGGCGTGGGCTTCCAACATCATATGGCCAACGCCTTAGCCCTCTCTGGCACCTTTCTTTTCTTTCTTTCCCTTCTTTCCTTTCTTCTCTCTTTCTTTCTTTCTGTCTATCTCTCATCTATCTTTCTTTCATGCCTGATGACTATTGTACAAACCAATTATATTACAGAACAATTATTCAATTGTCACTTTCATGTGCATATATAATTTGCATTACGCTCCATCATGGGTAAAGTGTTTCAGTGGAATGCTCAATCTATGAACGCTCATGGCTTTGAATTTTACACCAAAATAATTAAAAGTGCTATAAGTGAAGAAGAAAAGCCAAGTATTATTTGCCTACAGGAAACCTGGTACGATGATTACAATATCATCAGTTTTCCAGATTATACGTTGATAACAAAGAATAGAAAAAACAGAAGAGGAGGCTTAGCATTTTATATACATATGTCAGTTACTTTCCAAGTGATAAAAACACCAGATGATCAGGAATATCATATTATAGATATATTTATGCATAATCACATCTTTTCACTTGTCAACTTTTATAACCCTTGCAAAAAAATTGCGGCACCAGCGCTCGACGAAATGATATTATATTGTAAGAATCAAGTGATTATGTGGGGGTTTTAATTCTCACAATCCAATATGGGGTAGTAAGGACATAGACGCGAACGGGAGGACAGTGGAAGAATTTATGCATAAACATGATCTGGTGCTTTTAAACGAAGGTACCTCGACAAGGATAGACCCCCACACAGGTCGTTTCTCTTGCCTAGATTTAACATTTATGACCAAGGAATTAGCAAAACTTAGCGGATGGTCTGTACAGAAACAAAATTTTGGAAGTGACCACTTTTTAATCAGCTTTGATCTTTCTTTTGTTTCAAAGAACCTCCCAAAAGAAGGAAAATTTGAAAAGAACGAAGATACAAGGTTATTTGCAAGAAGTTCTTTAAATAAAGTTGATTGGAAACTGTACAAAATGGAGATAAAAGACCAAATGAAGGACTGCAAAAAAAGAATACCAGGAAGCAGACCTGCAAGATAAGCTTGATATTCTTAACGGCATTATTCTCATCTCCATTGACAAATTAACCAAAAAGGTAAGTACCGAGCATAAAGCGAGGCAACCGGTACATTGGTGGACGAAGGAATGTACAGAATCGGTCAAAATTAGAAACGCTGCAAAAAATCGTTTCATGTATAAAACTCACCTATATGAGGATTTTCAGATATATATGGAGAAATAAAGAATTACACAATCAGTTATCCGAAAAGCAAAAAGGGAATATTGGAGAGATTATTGTCGGAAGTTCAATCGGACAGCTGACATTGGTGCCGTGTGGAAGAAGATCAAAGACATACAAAAAAGTACGAACCAATCAATACCGAATTTGATTATGGAAGCTGGAAAGGTAATTGGTAAAACAGCTACTGAAAAAGCAAATATGTTTTTGAACGTTTTTAACTCTCTAGATTTAGCTGTAGGGAAAGAAGAAATAGTCAAGAGAAAAGAAAGTGAAACAAAACTTTTAGAAATTATTAATAACATGCAAAACCACGAGGAAAATGTATTAAATGAAGATTTCCGCCTTAGTGAGCTTAATAGTGCTCTACTAGAATTAAAAAACACTGCTCCAGGGAAGGATGGCATTCATTCCAAGATGATGAGCAACCTTCCGGAAGAAATCAAGATGATCTTAGAACTATATAATGGAATATGGAATAGAGGTATATTGCCTAGACAATGGACTGAGACTATTCAAATTCCGATATTAAAAAAAGGAAAAGATGCTTCAAACCCGTCGTCTTACCGCCCAATCTCTCTAACCCCAACACTGTGCAATGGAGAGACTTGTGAAAAACAGACTCTCATGGTATATCGAGAGAGAGGATATTATTACTCCCATACAATCGGGTTTTATGAAGAATAGAAGTACAGCTGACCATTTACTTAAGTTAGAAACAGATATTAAAAAAGGAATGGCAAATAAAGAACATACAGTTGTGATTTTTCTTGACCCAGAGAAGGCGTACGACAGAATATGGAGACAAGGCATAGTTTACGAATTATATAATCAAGGATTCACAGGTAAGATTTTAAAATGGATTTATGCATTCATGTCTAACAGAGTGAATCGTGTTAGAGTGGGAAACTACATATCAGAACAAAAAAAAAGTAATATAGGCATTCCCCAAGGGAGCGTGATAAGTCCCCTAATTTTTAATTTCATGATCAATGATCTTAGACGAATTCAGGATATTGTAGAAGTATCGTTGTATGCTGATGACATTTGTATTTGGTTTTCGCACAGAATTATGACACATGTACAAAAAAGTTACAGGCGGCTCTAGGCTTAATTGAAAAATGGTGTGATAGATGGGTTATGCATCTCTCATCCTCAAAATCGAGAGCCGTAGTATTCGGCAGAAAGGAAAAGAAAAATATTGATTTACAGATATATAGTCAAAGTATTCAATTAGAAAAAGAATACAAATTTCTTGGAGTATGGTTCGACTCGAGATTGACGTGGAGTAAACATATAAATGAAATTTCAATAAGATGCAAAAAAAAGACTTAATCTTATGAGGTGTACTGCTGGTACCAAATGGGGCAATAACTCGGAAATACTTCACTATGTTTATAAAGGCTTAATCCGCTCTGTGTTAGATTATGGAAGTGAAGCCTATGATGGCGCGAGTAATTCTCTTAAAAAGAAATTAGACACCATATAATTCCAGGCTCTTAAAATTATTACTGGAGGAGCTCATCTAACTTCATTACAGGCTTTACAAGTTGAATGCGGGGAAATGCCGTTGCAACTCAGGAGGAATATGTTTATTGATAAATATTATTATTATTTACATGCAGCTAAAATTAACCATCCTACCAAAAAAGTCTTATTACCGTATTGGCAATATGAAAGTTACTCTTGGAAAATGGGCCAAGGTCCTTTCGTCAAAAGATTGAGGAACTTGGAAATAGGAAATATTGAAAAGCTCACTGAATGCATGACGGTTAAACCTTATTGGCACTATAAGATGCTAAGTATATCTACAGAAATAAAAGATTTTGTTTCTAAGAAGTTTTCTTCATCAATAGAATCAAAAAATTATGCTGTAGAGGTCATTAAGAAAAAATGGAATTACTGTTTAAGAATCTATACAGACGGTATACAGGTATACGGGAGCAGCTTACTATATCCCAAAACTAAGCCTAAGTAAATGCTTTAAAACATCCAATATATCCATCATGAGAGCAGAACTGGTAGCTATATTAATGGCACTTGAATGGATAGATGAATATCATCCAATTGCAGTAGTGATTTTAACAGATTCAGCATCAGCTTTAGAAGCCATAAAGAATATGAAAGAATCCAGCATAATTGTTGAGATTTATGAAAAATTATTTGCTATAAACTCCTTCGGGATAGATGTTAACCTTGAATGGGTACCAGCCCACTGCGGCCTACAAGGAAATGAAAGAGCTGATTTGTTGGCAAAACAAGCTTAAAAAAACAACAACACTGATATAATAGTAAACCAAAACAAAAGTGAGTTCGTAAGTGAATCAGATATTTTTTATAAATCCATGTGGCAAAGCCTCTGGGATAAAGCAGAGAATGGAAGACACTTGTATAGCATCAATAAAAATGTAAATAATGTTTTTAAAATCAAAGGTTTGAACCGAAAGGACGAAATGATTAATCCATCAACTCAGGCTTGGTAAATGTAACCTGAATTACTATAAATATTTAATTAGAAAACACGACACTCGTTATGTGTAGAATGCCAAACGATAGAAACAATTGAGCACTTTTTATTATCATGTCCAAAATATAAAAGATAACGAAGGAGAATGTATAGAGCGCTAAAAACCCAAAATCCAAATCTAGGTCACTTACTAGGAAATGAGGAATATATAGGAAAGGTGGTAGCTTTTTTAAAAGGCAGTGGAGGGTACAATGAACTGTGATGCTCAGCTATAAACATTAACTTCGTATTAATTAAGTATTAATCGAGTATTAGTTGCGTTTTGCTATGTTATCTATTGGTGACAGTGGTACTATCCTCGGTATAAATTACTTCATTGTATAAATTGTACAAATTGCTTCATTATACGGAGAGAGGTGTTAAACTAACGTCCTAACGTAATGAACTGATCGCAACTAATATTCAACCACTTCATCCTTTCTTTCCTAATGAATTCTTTAAAATAACAAGCCGAATAACAATACAGAAAATAACTACTAACAATTTACTGACATTGTTAATTGCACAACACAACGCCACTAAGCTATCGTCGATCCAACAGTAAAAGTATTAAGAGAGGACCAGTAACTACGCCCTCTCACATTGCCTGGCGGAAATCATCGAATTACGATGGAAACGCACTGACCCCTACACAGAGGTAGAGGTCAGTGGCTTGACTCCTCGCAGTCCGTGTCACGAGTTTAACCATCACACATCTCTTCTTCGCCTCCTGTTTTACAGGTAATTTACCATATTTTGTATTATACTTATATTTAAGTAAATCATTATTATCATGTTATATAACTTTGTGCGGTTGTACTGATGTATGATTGGATATGGTCTGATGTTCGCATTTGTAGATATCGTTGTTTGAAGGGAAGAATTTAAGTTAAGAAAGTGTAGCTTTCTTGTAACTATTTGTGAAGCGTTATACTGTATGGGTGAATGGTACCCGCGAACAGGCGCGTACGCAGGGGGGGGGGGGGGGGGGGGGTTTAACATTTATAAATCGGGCCTAAAATTTCGCAACGACTCAGCCAGCCGCTGAATAAGCGGGGGGGGGGGGGGGGGGGGGGGGGGGGGGGGGGGGGGGGTAAGAAGACACATTTTTTTTTTTTTTGGGTCTCGAAATTTGAAAATTTGACATTTTGCCCCGTTGGGGGGGGGGGGGTAAGGTCAGCTTTTTAGGTCAACCATGGGGATATTTTTTTTTTTTTTTTTTAGATAAAAAAAAAAAAAAAAAAAAAAAAATCCAAAAGGGGAGGGGGGTTTTAGAGAAATTTAGGGGGGTTTACACACTAAAAATTACCAAAGGGGGGGGGGGGTTTAACCCCCCCCCAAACCCCCCCCCCCCTGTGTACGCGCCTGCCCGCGAATATATATATTTCACATTGTACATAACTATTTAGCTTTCTTACTTTAAGATATGAGCTAATCAATATTTTGTCGTTTATGAACCACTATTGTGATTCTAGTTAGCATTTGACATATTCTAGTTGGGGAAATATGATTACGATTTTCCATATTCGATTTGATAACGTTTTGAGAGATTTCCATCTCAGAAGGAGATAACCTTTGATTTGTCAATGAACCGACCAGATTTTGCTAGTCTATAAGTCCGTATTTTCTTATAATATGTATCGAGTTATTATGTCGTTTATTTTATTCAGGATCTTACATTATCATGCCAAGATAATAATCATGTTAATATGTGTTCTGATATACCAGGGATTGGTGTGGAATTGGCGTACAACTTTATAATCATTTATATATGATAAATTGGTGTCTGCGTGATTAGACTAAGTACGTTCACATGGTGTGTAGGGAGTGAGCGCATCGTTGAGAACAAAGAAAGGATTACAACTTTTAAATAATAGTACCAGTACAAGTATTACCTTGACCAGGGACAAAGAGGAATATTATTTGTCTGCGGTACGATCATTGTATAGCAGACAAATGTTGTTTGTATCGTTAATGAATGCATACTTATGTTGGGTCCGGGGCTGTGCCCCGATGGAATGTAATTTGCATAGGCAGCTCGTACAGGTGTGCGAGCTAATTCTGCCACGGAGACCAGGGCGTGGCATGAATTAGTGTGTAATTGAATCATTCTAGCTTGAACTTTCAACGAGACAACTTTTATTTACAATAAAAGTGCGTTGTGTCATGTAGTGTTACATGACTGTTTTTGAATAAGGTTTTCGTGAGTTTTTATGCTCGTTGAGTTTTATCTCTGGTTTTTTATCCTGGACCATGATAGGTCCGGTTTCCAGTGAAGGAAACGAGAAGAAATGTTTGTTAAACATTCATACTGAATAAACGGCCGGTTCTCAGTAGTCGTTGTCAGGCTATTCCACAATAATTGAAGTGTATTATTGTGTTATTTGTGTGTATTGGGAGTCAAGAGGGATGACAGACGAAATAATATGTGAGATTATAGGACAGACCTTGGGCTTTTTAGGTTTATTTGTCTCAACTCTGTAATCTGTATAGAGCAGGTACTATAGTATTAGTAGCTGAAACAAATATGCTTTAACCGTCACTATTATATATGTATGAGTGGGTTTTATTATGGTCCAAAACGCTCATGTATCTTTACAATATGAATTAAGTTAGAGAACAACAATTATTATTCATTTGCACGATTACGAAAGCACCATTATCTATCACTCGGTAGTCTCCAGTTGTATATTATTAGTCAGACATGTATAAATCTATTTAGTCTATTCGTATTATGTAAGCTATAGTTTCTTCCACTGGCGTACTGGTGGGGGGGGGGCTTGGGGGCGCCAGCCCCCCAAATAAAATTGAACCATGACTTATTTTCAATTCCATATACAAGTGATGTATAAATGTTCGTAATATCACATTATTTTCAACAAAATGCGCGTTTCTCCATTTCTGTTGCAAACTGACACATTCCCAAATGGCCAGGAAGAGCATATGTTGTTTTATAGTCACTAAGGGGCCGTGGCCACTAACAGTAACACTAGTAAACAAAATCCTTTCCAGAAGCAACTTTGACAAGCACTACCGGGCGTTCCATACTTACATCATGTAGCACTGCTTTAAGGGGCCCAGTGGGGAAATTGAATTCAGACTTCAGACTTCAGACTGGGATTAAGAGTCAAGAACGGTACAACGAATCGTCTTCCTTCTTTAATAATTTAATGAAGTGTCAAAGCTTCCGCGCAGCGGGGGGGGGGGGGGGGGGGGGGAACTGAATTCAGACAAGAACACGATACAACGAATCGTCTTCTTTCTCTGAAACCTTAAAGCTTCCGCGCTTCGGGGGGGGGGGGGACTGAATTCAGACTAGGATTAAGAGTCAAGAACGGTACAACGAATCGTCTTCCTTCTTTAATAATTTAATGAAGTGTCAAAGCTTCGCGCGGGATGGGCGAAAATGAATTCAGAAAAGGATTAAGAGTAATAGTTTAATGAAACGTCAGAGTTTCCGCGCTTCGCGCGAGATGGGCGAAAATGAATTCAAACAAGGAAGTTAAGAGTCGAAACCGGTACAATGAATCGTCTTCTTTCTCTAATAATTCAATGAAGTGTCAAAGCTTCCGCGCTTCGCGCGGGAGGGGGGAAACTGAATTCAAACAAGAACACGATATAACGAAACTTCTTCTTTCTCTTATTATTTAATGAAACGTGAAAGCTTCCGCGCTTCGCGCGGGATGGGCGAAAATGAATTCAGACAAGGATTAAGAGTAATAATTTATAGAAACGTCAAAGCTTCCGTGCTTCGCGCGAGATGGGCGAAAATGAATTCAGACAAGAATTAAGAGTAATAATTTATTGAAACGTCAAACTTCACGCGGGAGGGGGTGGGGGGACTGGATCCAAACAAGAATTAAGAGTCGAGAACAATGCAACGGATCGTCTTCTTTCTCTAATGATATTTAATGAAGTGTCAAAGTTTTCGCGCTTCGCACGGGAAGGGAGAGACTGAAAAATAACTTGGTTCCTGGCCCCGGGTTTAATTTGTAGACATTCGGACATTGGCATTATTTTTCGGTAATTGGTTGCTCGTATTGTCGGTAGTCGGTGGCCTCTACACCCTCCCCACTCCCCCACTGACAATGATAACGACACAGTTTATACACTCGAGAATTTTTTTGCAAGTACTACTGATGAAGTACCGGACCACCGTCTTTGTGCATTGTGCGGCATCAAAGCATATACAACGTCTCACGACGTGACAGATCATTTTTTTCTAACTTCTAACCAATCAAGAAGGCCTCGTTTTTTTCTCCACGAAGTGCCGGTGGACATTAATGCGCCAAATGTGGTTCTCAAATTGCAAAAGATCCCTATTCTTGGAAGGGGTAGGAGAAAGCAATTTTACGTCATATTACTCCAGGAAGTGCCTGAAAATGCGTCTAATTTGGTTCTAAAATTGTGACCGGGGGGGGGGGGGTCAGCCTTATTAGGTAAAAGTAGAAGAAATGTGAAAGAAGGAAAGCTTCATGTGATGGGATGGAGTGTTACAGTGTTATATACATTTACATTCTCCAACAAATGATTTTACATGCTTTCTATAATCATCATTTTCACGTCACATCTATTTGATCTGAAACCAATGTCCCTGTTAAAGGTAAAGACCAGTATTGGAAACCCCCCATTTCAAAAAATGAAATGGAAGCTCTCATTACCAATCATGTGAAAGAATATGTTTTGACTAATACATGATGATAACAAATTTGACGGGAAACCGCCTATTAATTCATATATTTGGTAAATTTGTTTCTCTCATGGTCTGTGAGAGATATAGGGTAGTCCCATATACATCTTTCTGTGTATAGTGCTTGTAACTTTACGAAGAATGGGCCAAATTTCTTATCATTTTGATGATTCCAGAACCTTGCAGATGCTAGATGCTAGATGATCAACCTTTTCTGATCGATTCCACAACGTTTCTTTCACAATGCAATCGTATGACCATAACTGGTCTTTACCTTTAACTCATCTGGTATATGTATGAAATTGTATTTAAATATCATTTACGCTTATTTATACAGGTTTTCATGACAAGTAAAGCGTTAATATAATGCAAATCTACTGATGCAATAAAATTGAACGAGTCAACAATAACCATTGTAATAAAAGGGAATTCATTACATAAATACATTAAACAAAGTTCGATACACCACTAAAAACCATCTACATGTTGTATGCAGCTGCGTTAATGAACTAATGAATATCCAAAGTTATAAATATCTTACTCCTCCTTATTTCCGTGATCTGAAAAGGTACAGGTACTTTCAATAAACACAAGTGCCTCTTTTTCATGTACGGTCAGTGCCCCTTTTCAGATGGGATAAGTGCCCTTCTTCGTAATATTTTGAATATCTGAGGGGGCAATGCACATATAGACAGCTGTTGATGGAAATGATGGCATTTCTTTTTGTTAAGCGCTATATAAGAACTAGCTATTATTATTATTATTATCTCCATTCATTACAGCTTCCTGAGGTAACTAAACGTCGTTCGGTTTGCCCTCTTCTTTGATAATTTACCTGCATAAAGTAATAATGTCCAGCCAACGAGGTGAGTCAGGACAGAGCAAGTGTCTAAGAATTATTTAATCATACATTTACGATGTTTATAGGTACAATTAAGAGTCAAGAAATATATTATTGTTAGATTTTAGATAAATGTGTTTAAAGGTTACTGTGTGTAAAATAGAGAATCCCTTGGAGACTCTCCCTTCACTTTGTTACGTAAACGCTAAATTACGTTTGCTGTGCATTGTTTGTCTACAGTTTCACGGCACCGTTGGAGATTAATAAATTAATACTTCGTTCCTATTCATCAACATCCATCTTTACGTTGGTACTTTTATTTGATGGCAGTTATAAAGGGGCGGATCATGGAATTTCTTCCCGGGGGACACACGGGGGAGGGGGGGGGGGCACACGGGGGGGGGGGGTGGTAAGAGGACATATATAATATATATATATATTTTTTTTTTTTTTTTTTTTTTTTTGGGGGGGGGGGGGGGGGGGGTCCCCCAAAATCGCAAGGACTCAGCCAGCCGTAAAATTTGGAGGGGGGGGGGGGGTTAGAGCCTATTTTTTTCGGGGGGGGATTTCCAGCTTTCTGGTGGTAAAGGTCACCTGCCGGGGGAAGATGTCTGGACCTTACTGTTTAACTTTAACGTTGCTCAAAGTCAAACTCAAAGTCAAGCCGCATGATTTCGACAAGAACAGTGAAGGTGCTAGGAGTATTTACAGTTGCTGTAGATCTAATCTAGTCTTTTTATCATTTTAATTTTTCTGCTCATTCCAACAGGTGCAGGAGGAGAATCAGTTGCTATGGTGACTCACAAGGTAAGTTATGTGCGAACAAAAATCAGGGGCGTCAATTTACCCTGGAACCACGCATAGTGAAATGTGGTTCACTTTTAAATCAAATTCAATTTCTTGCATCCGATACAAAGGCATTGGCGTTGCACGGACTGGCTTAAAGATACTATAGTATATCCCTTTTGCAGCCAACATCAAATTCTGTAGAACTTTGCAGGAATTATGAATATGTCATGTATGTCCTATCTGTGAAATTTAAACGTTAGCAGTGTCCTAATATTCAAATTATGCAAGGAAACCCGTTTACTTGCTAGACTTCACTGTCAGACACTATTGATTGACTGTCTGGCTTTTCTTCTTCTTTGGTTATAACATACATGAAATGAGCTGTAAATGGTACATGAGCATTTGTCTACATCAATAACCCACTTCTTGGAATGGCCAAAATTAAACTAATTGAGTCTTTGCGCAGTATAAAACTACGAACATTTTGTACAATGCCAATGGTCTGAAAATCAGACTATTACTTACTGTCGATTCGACAACTAATAGTCGTTTTTTCCCGCTTAAAGACATTTTCAACCCCTCTTTTTTAAAGGAAGTTCTAAATTAGTATTATCTTTCAAATGCCTTTTCATTTGTTTGGCCTGCAAATGGGACATAGTACCTTGAAAGAAGAGACTGAACACCGTTTTATATTGTTGTTGTAAATGTATGTAGGTTTTTGGGTGTGTTTTGTTTATTGTACACGTAGTTATGTTACCTATGGAAGATAAAGTGAAAAAAAAGCTGACCTCTTAGAGTTGGCGATGTTTATTGTTGAATGTTTAGTTCCGCTTGAAAAAATGCAAATAGAAAAAGTGAAATACGCACTGTAGACCAGTTATGGTCATGCGATTGCATTGTGAAAGAAACGTTGCGGAATCGATCAGAAAAGGTCGATCATCTAACATCTAGCATCTGCAAGGTTCTGGAATCATCAAAATGATCAGAAATTTGGCCCATTTTTCGTAAAGTTACAAGCAATATACACAGAAAGATGTATATGGGACTACCCTATATCTCTCACAGACCATGAGAGAAACAAATTTACCAAATACATGAATTAGTAGGCGGTTTCCCGGCAAATTTTTTGTCATCATGTATTAGTCAAAACATATTCTTTCACATGATTGGTAATGAGAGCTTCCATTTCATTTTTTGAAATTGGGGCGTTTCCAATACTGATCTTTACCTTTAAAAATGTTTTTTTGCGTTGATACTTTATCTACGATGATAACGAATTAATGATTAGTCTATTATACTGAGGAGCACGAACAGAGTTTGCTAAATTTACAAGTCCCTGCGCGTGCCTTTTTACGCTAGTCGCTTTTCTCGTATCGTAAAGTAAGCATCAAATTGCGAACGCGAAAACAGTTTTTGTCTCGCCTGCGTAGCAAATAGCGAAACATACCGGTAGGCAGGGGCGTAAATCCCGGGGGGATGGGGGGGGGGGGGGCTGCATCCCCCCTGGCTTGAAGTAGGGGGGATGGCCTGTACAATCACCCCCCCTGATATTGCAAAAAAAAAGAGAGAAAAAAAAAAGGAAGAAGAAGAAGAAGAAGAAGAAGAAAAAATGTGATTGTTTCAATTTTAGCATAATACATGAGAAATGAGTTATTTTTTTAATGTAAGTATAACTGTATAGCCTACAAGGATATAGTATGTCACGATCATTAAGAGTAGTTGCGCGACGTGCGCGAACAAGCACTTCATAAACTTTAAGAATAATTTTAAGTTATTTTGCAAGGTATTATTATAGCCCAGACGTAAAGTGCGCCAGCGCGCGAGCGCTTAAAAAGTGCAATCATGTACAGTAGATGCCCGGCTCCTCCCACTTAGTATTATTTAGGGTACGCGTACGCTCGTTCCCGCCCTTTAAAAGCACCCCCCCCCACCCTATCTCAGGACTGCCAACATTTCTGAATCCCCCTTTCGCCGGCTTTTCGCTGGCTTTTCCTACCTTGGAGACCCCCTCCCCCAAATCCGGAACACTGCTAAATGTACAACCCCCCCCCCCCCCCCCCCCCCCCCCCATTTCAGGTGAGCTCTAGTCGATCGAGGGGGACTGGGGGCCAATGCTTTTACTTTTCAAAATGAAACAATCCTGAATGAGCTTTCAAAGCTAGCAGGAATTTCAGGAATTTGATCCCGGGATTTGATCAATTTTTCTATGATATTCAAGATATTTTATAACCTCCTTTTTACATTTCTCAGGAGTCCAAAGAGAGAGAGAAAAAAACCCACCCCCTTTTTAAAGAAATTAAGAGTCGAGAATGGTACAACGAATCGTCTTCTTTCTCTAATGATTTAATTAAACGTAAAAGCTTCCGCGCTTCGCTCGGGGGGGGGGGGGGAGGGGGAGGGGGGGGGGAAGGAAAAACTGAATTCAGATGAGGATTAAAAGTCAAGAACGGTACAACGAATCGTCTTCTTTCTCTAATGATTTAATGAAACGTAATAGCTTCCGCGCTTCGCGCGGGAGGGAGGGGGGGGGGGGGGGGGGGAAAGGAAAAAACTGAATTCAGATGAGGATTAAAAGTCGAGAACGGTACAACGAATCGTCCTCTTTCTCTAATGATTTAATGAAACGTAAAAGCTTACGCGCTTCGCGCGGGAGGGGGGGGGGGGAGACTGAATTCAGACGAGGATTAAAAGTCGAGAACGGTACAACGAATCGTCTTCTTTCTCCAATGATTTTATGAAACGTAAAAGCTTCCGCGCTTCGCGTAGGAGGAGGGAAGGGAAAAACTGAATTCAAATGAGGATTAAAAGTCGAGAACGGTACAACGAATCGTCCTCTTTCTCTAATGATTTAATGAAACGTAAAAGCTTACGCGCTTCGCGCGGGAGGGGGGGGGGGGGGAGACTGAATTCAGACGAGGATTAAAAGTCGAGAACGGTACAACGAATCGTCTTCTTTCTCCAATGATTTTATGAAACGTAAAAGCTTCCGCGCTTCGCGTAGGAGGAGGGAAGGGAAAAACTGAATTCAAATGAGGATTAAAAGTCGAGAACGGTACAACGAATCGTCCTCTTTCTCTAATGATTTAATGAAACGTAAAAGCTTACGCGCTTCGCGCGGGAGGGGGGGGGGGGAGACTGAATTCAGACGAGGATTAAAGTCGAGAACGGTACAACGAATCGTCTTCTTTCTCCAATGATTTTATAAAAATATATAAGCTTCCGCGATTCGCGCGGGAGGAGGGGGGGGGGGGGGGAAGGGAAAAACTGAATTCAGATGAGTATTAAAAGTCGAGAACGGTACAACGAATCGTCTTCTTTCTCTAATTATTTAATGAAACGTATAAGCTTCCGCGCTTCTCGCGGGAGGGGGGGGGGAAGGAAAAAACTGAATTCAGATGGGTATTAAAAGTCGAGAACGGTGCAACGAATCGTCTTCTTTCTCTAATGATTTAATGAAACGTAAAAGCTTCTGCGCTTCACGCGGGAGGGGGGAGGAAAAAACTGAATTCAGATGAGGATTTAAATTCAAGAACGGTACAACGAATCGTCTTCTTTCTCCAATGATTTTATGAAACGTAAAAGCTTCCACGCTTCGCGCGGGAGGGGAGGCGGGAACTGAATTCAGACGAGGATTAAGAGTTGAGAACGGAACAAAGAATCGTCTTCTTTCTCTAATGATTTAATGAAACGTAAAAGCTTCCGCGCTTCGCGCGGGAGGGGGGGGGGGGACTGAATTCAGACGAGGATTAAAAGTCGAGAATGGTACAACGAATCGTCTTCTTTCTCTAATGATTTTATGAAACGTAAAAGCTTCCGCGCTTCGCGCAGGAGGGGGGAAGGAAAAAACTGAATTCAGATGAGGATTAAAAGTCGAGAACGGTACAACGAATCGTCTTCTCTCCCTAATGATTTAATGAAACGTAAAAGCTTCCGCGCTTCGCGCGGGAGGGAAGGGGGGAACTGAATTCAGACGAGGATTATTTTCGAGAACGGTACAACGAATCGTCTTCTTTCTCCAATATTGTTTGTTGTTTGTTCGTTTGTGTGTGTGCGTGTGTGTGTGCGTTTGTGAGGTGTGTGTGTGTGTTGTGTGTTTGTGCGTGCGCGATCGCGCGCGCTTGCGTAAATTAATGTGGGCGTGTGCTCGTACTAGTATGTGATGGCTATCGCCGATCATCCCCCCCCCCCCCACTCCTCGGTACGGATTTACGCCCCTGCCGGTAGGCGCCGCTTTTCCAGTGACGGCGGCGGCGGTGTCAATTATAAGTCTTTATTGCTATTCACCCAAACTTTCTTGTCAAGATTTTGGGGGCTCCATTACTTGATGACCCTTGTAAAAATGTATTAAATGATGTATTCGATTGGCCCAGAATATCGAAAGTTTTGTCAGCACACTGTCAATCGTCTGAATATTGACAAGTGGAGAAATAAAATTGGTGGCAATGACTGACTTGACTGTCCTACTTTTCTAGAAAGTCAGGCAGTGTATATATATATATATATATATATATATGTATGTATAACTCTTACCAATTAAGTGTAACCTGCCCAACTAATATATGCTTGCTTTAGTTGCTTATATGGTGTAAATCATGTATACTTTATAATAGTTTACGACCTTTTTATATAGAGCACCGAAGTGTGACGTCATACTGGCCAAGTTCTCAAGGTTGCTTGTTCCAAAAGTATTTGTTCTAAACAATCGCATGGTGACCACACCAAGACCAATCACTGGATTTACCCTCCTCCAGCCAGTTGTTTGAATAATTTTGTGGTGAACTTGATGCACAGGCCGTTTTGTTTAGAATCAGTTATCTGGACGGCAAGCGAATAATTGTTGTTAGCACTTTGGTACTCTATAGGGATATATATATAATATATAGGAATCACTTACAAGTTTTGTTCCAATTACAGGTCTTCTTTGATATTACAATTGGAGATGAAAAAACTGGCAGGATTGTGATCGGTCTCTTTGGACAAACTGTTCCTAAAACAGCCACTAACTTCATCGACTTGGCCACTGGTGAGGTAAGCAAGGAATAGTGTCCGTTTTTTATATTTGTCATCAATCATTACTTTGAGAAAGCAGGATTCTTGCCAGGGCTTAAAAATAGAGTCAAGTTCTGGTCATGTGATTGCATTGTGAAAAAAAAACTGTCTGGAGGCGATTGGTAAATGTTCTTACGTGTATTAGCTCATATGTATTTATATGCACTCTGAGGCTTGGGAATCCTCAAAAGTCAAAACGATAAGAAATTGGCCCGGTCTTGCTCAAAGTGAAATGCACTGTAATAAAATTATGTATGGAAGTACATTGCATGTGGCATGAAAGTTTGGCCCAAACACTTTGCAGTTATTCAAATTTTTTTAATGATATTCTTCAACACTAATATGACAAAAATATGAAATAGCTTACAAATCACTCTTGACCTTTTCCAGAACTCAAACCTTCTCTTCGATAATCTGATGCAAATACCATGTCTGAGCCTCTGAGGGGATATCAGTTAAAAATAAAGAATGAGGGCACATTTTCTTCCAGAAAGGGTTATGTTTCACAATTCTCCCACGGGATACATCATGGCCGATTCTTTCTCAACTGGGACCTAGGGTAAATTAATTTCTGCTGAGAAGCCATTGATGAGGAATAATGGCTCAGTGGATAGAGGGGTGTAAGGCAGACCTTAGAACCAGTAGGTTCCTGGTTCTACGCTGAATTGTGATATGTGCTGTTATATATTTTTTGTTTGTGTACAGCTAGTATAGATGTATTGACTGCTATGAGAGGCATCGCTGTTTCTATAGGCTCAAGGGGGCGTTACTCCCTGCTATAACCTCGAGGAGGAGATGGGTGGAGGATGCGATGGCCTGAACATTAATGATTTCTCATTGGAAATCCATCTGTTTGAGAATATATTAGAAATTATTATCAAACAAAATCATGTTTTTCTGTGTGTTTACAGAAAGGGTTTGGATACAAAGGAAGCAAGTTTCATCGCGTGATCAAGGATTGCATGATCCAGGGAGGTGACTTCACAAAGGGAGATGGCACAGGAGGTAAGCTATTTCATCATATCGAGGCCGGGTCGGTGAGACAAAGACGTAACTCCATTTTGAGAAAAAGTGGTTTATGTGTCACTGAGCACTTGGCCCGGGCCTCAAGGAGTTAAGTCTATGTTTCACTAGACATTGACTTCAATGGGGTGTCGGGTGGAGTTAAGTCTTTGCGTTTCCTGGAAAGCCCACATTTTCTGAACATTTTGATATCAAATACTCATTTTGGCAAAATATGGAGTTACGTCTTTGTGTCACTGAACTCTAAAAATGTGGATATGTATAGTGAGGTAAAAAAAAATATGTTATTTTGGATATTATGGTAAAGCTACCGGGGTGAGGAGTGGTAGGGGGTAGGAGGTAGGGGACACATATCCTGGGACATACTGTCAGATCACCACGAAACCGCCAGTAGCATCTAGGGGCAAATTTTGGCAAAATAGCCCGGGCTATTTTTAAACTGCATAGCCGAGGGGGGGGGGGGGGGGGGGGGGGTTTAAGCCACTTATGTATTTTTTTGTTGTTCTATATCATTTCTAACTATAACTATTTTGGCCCTCAAAACAAACACCTTAATTATAAACAAGACCAAATAACCAATGTTTTATCTCTTTTTTTTGGAAAAATTATATTTCCATATGTTTTGTACACAAATCACGAAATGAGCGATTTTCGGGCTGACATGCAAAGACAAAAGGTTACTTGACTTTGTAACGGTAGGTCCGACTTTCGAAAATAATTGCTTCAAAAGATGCGCAAGACCCAAAAGAAAAAAGTCATAAAGTTTAGCGCAAGATTTTGTTTGCGTTGAAAAAAAAATTGTCGCGAAAACTGTAGAGGGAGGGGGGGGGGGGCTTCTAAATCCCCCTTGCTATATAGGGTTAAGGCCGGTTTACATGGTAAACTGCCTTTTAAACAAAATTGCAGAATCTAAATTTAAAAAAAAAGATATTTTCAAAGGAAATGCCAAGTGGGAATGCAAACAAATGAACCACATGCAGCATAGGCCCCAATTAAAGCACACCCACCTATCGGCCTCGTGTCATACTTGCAGAACTATGAAGCACACCGTTCTCGTTTCAATTTATTTATCTTGTCATTGTCATTTTGTGAACAAGGATGTATCAAAAGAAATTATTGTGTTATATTTTTCATTCAGGTAAGAGCATCTACGGTGACATATTCAAGGACGAGAACTTCAAGCTGAGCCACTACGGTGCCGGATGGCTGAGCATGGCCAACGCAGGCAAGGACACCAACGGATCCCAGTTCAACCTCATAACCATCAAGACAACCTGGCTCGATGGCAGGCATGTGGTCTTTGGTAAAGTTTTAGAAGGAATGGTGAGTGTTTAACCCTACATTCAGGGGTGTCGATTTGTATCCGTAGTTGGGGGATGATAGGTGCCAAACTATTTTCGGCAATGGATCAAAGCACCCAAGAGGTAGAAGCGTGTGGTAGGTTGCACCCCCTCCCTTCCAAGTTGTTAACTTTTTTCAAGTCACCCTCAATAAGGATAACATTTCAGAGAATATAAGAATGGTAATAAAATTAATAAAATGCTAAATGTTAGTCCTGACTCTTGCCTGCAGTGTATATAGGCTTACCCGCCATAAACTTAACTAGTAACGTAATCACTAAGAAAACAATAACGTACACTTAGTATCCAATGATTTTGCAGAGTAGTGTTTGCGTTACTAAACATCTCTTAAATTTGCCCTTTTTTTTCTCATCAAGGAAATCTCTTCAAAGTCTTGAACCATTTGTGACACATGTTACATTTTATATCAGTAACAGAACTGAAGAACCACATTGTTTTTGGACATGCAGGAATTTGAGGGTACATGTACCATCTATTTTGACTGATTAAAAAAAAATGGCAGCAAAACTGATCATGAAGATGTCGACATTCTTTTCAAAAGAGGACAACTAATGGAATTTCAAGAAGAATGTGCTGTTTGACTCATTTCGATTTCCATATTATTAAAATCATATGAAAACAGTAAACAACCAACTCATATGTTTCATGCAATATCTCTTTCAAGGTTATTTCTTAAAATAGTAATCTGATGATAAGCACTGATTAAGGTATGCTGACGTAAGTCAACGAAGGGAACGAAAATCATATTTGTGTATACAATGTGGAACATGGAGTATTAAACTTTTTTTGGTATAAGACTCAGTAGGAAACTATTGTAAATAAGTGACAGTAACAGTTCAATCAAAAATTCTTTAAAATCCTAAAGGTAAAGACTGATACTAAAAAATTTCACAGGTACTTGTTAATTTTATTTTGTTTTATTAAATTTTTGCAGGATGTCGTGAGAAAGATTGAAAATACGAAGACGGGGGATAATGACAAACCTGTAAAAGACTGCGTCATCGCTGACTGCGGCACTATTGATATTGAGAAGCCTTTCGCCGTCGACAAGGAAGCAGCCATGTAAACTGCCTCCATTCCTTACTGTCTCCCGTTCTACCTAGATATACAAATTTACAGCAACAACAAAAACCTTTTCTGCGTCATCGCAGACAGCGGCACTATTGACACTGAGAAGCCTTTCGCTGTCGACAAGGAAGAAGCCATGTAAACTGCCTCCATCCCTTACTGCCTCCCGTTCTACCTAGATATACAAATTTACAGCAACAACAAAAACACTTTCTGCGTCATCGCAGACAGCGGCACTATTGACACTGAGAAGCCTTTCGCTGTCGACAAGGAAGCAGCCATATAAACTGCCTCCATCCCTTACTGCCTCCCGTTCTACCTAGATATACAAATTTACAGCAACAACAAAAACTCTTTCTCTCAGGAAATAGATGTATAGCTTGTCTAGTCTTTCAAATTCACATGCAGTTTATGCAATATGTTATCAATTATAATCATAATGATGGTAGTGGTTCAGCTTAGATATCAAATTGTATGACCTCGATCCCTGATTGTTTGACCAAGGTTTTTGTGTGTTTATAATTTCAAACTTGTCCATCATATCTGATTCTAAGGAATACATCTGTTCTAGTCAGTGTGTAATTGTTCTCACATTAAATATAGATGGAAAGTAATCCAGATTCCTTTGCACTGTCGTATATAGCTAATAGTTACTGCATTGCTTTATCCTCTTCCATGGTATTAAAAACTATTTTGCACGCAGAAAGAAACTTTGAAAAATGATCATGCATTTGCATGGAAGTGTATCATTAGAATTATTCATATTGTTTTATTACATCTTGTGAAGTAGTATGCATTCAAGCTTTTGGAACTTTTTGTGTGTATTTGTATGAAAGAAAGCGTTTGGAACTTTTTATGCACATGACACCTTGTCGAATACTCGAATACTCTTTTATTTTTGTTTAACCTTTTATACAGTAATACAGATAATTATCTGCAAGCCAACCAATTTTGTTTTTAATCATGTCAACCACAACCTTTCTAAAGCTGATCAAATATGAGACACGCACGGCCAGGCACTAGTGTAGGAAATTGTTAAATGTTCAATTCATTCAATTCAATTCAATTCAAATTTATTTTTCATTTCCACAGAAATCAGAACAATATTTCATTAAAACAAAACAAAAAATTGAACAAGATAACATGTGAATAATATCATTTACAAATACTTAAACTGCATATAAACAAAATTTGAATAACATAATACAAAAAAAAAATTGATATTTTCTATGGAAATGGAGGGACCCATTAAAAAGTGGATACTTGTAGATTATGGGTCCCTCAAAATAACAAAGTAGCATTACACAAATTAGCTTATACAGAACAAAAAACACAAATATATTAATATAACAGTTTGCTCTTTGTTTTTAAAATAAAAAAATAAAAATAAAATAAAGTAAAGACAATGATAAGCCCGCGAAGACAGAACAGTAACAAATAGAGACAATGTAAGACAGAGAAAGACATTCAATAACAACAAAAAACACGAATATACAGCACAGACGTGGACGTAACATTTCCAAAACAACAAATCAGTTATTCTACATTCCGTATACTATTGTCAATACAAATCAGATTATCAGTAAAAAGTAAGACCGTATAAATCGATAACTGCGCATATAATTATTAAAGAGAAAATAAGGGGAAAGTATGCGCGTATTCTCCTCAAAATGATGCATCGTGTATAATGTGTAAGTATTAGTGTGTGTGTGTGGGTGTCAGGGGGGGGGGGGGGGGTAAATCAAACTAATTTACTTTATATTTTAAGAACAAAAATATTTTTAATCTTTTCTTAAATGTATATAATGAAGGGGCATTTTTCAAGGAATCAGTAAAGGAATTCCACAAATTTGGGCCATCATAGATAAAAGTGTTTTTAGCGAAGGAAGTTCGAAGTAATGGCAAATGGTACTCTTCCGAATGTCTAGTTGAATGTTGATGAAAAGAGCGATTTTTTAAAAACATAGTCTTAAAATTTTTTGGCAGCAAATCATTAGTAGTTTTATACATAAATTGACCTAATTGAAGCAAATACAAATCTTTTACTTTCAAAATATTATTATCATAAAACAACGGATTAGTGTGTGCACGAAAATCTGCCTGAGAAATAATTCTAACTGCTCTCTTCTGTAACAATAAAAGTTTGTCTAAAATGTTCTGATGAGCGTTACCCCATGCGAGTAAGCCATAATTCAGATAAGGTAATGTTAAGGATGAATATAATGTTAATAATGCTGAAGATGGGAGTTGTGTTTTAAGTCTATTTAATATACCAATATTTCTCGAAATTTTTTAGAAATGTTATCGACATGAACTTTCCATGAAAGCTTATTATCAATTATTACACTTAGAAATTTAGAATGTGTAACCTTTTCCAAATGAGTGTCATCAAAAACTAAATCAGTTGGCAAAGAATCTATTGAATTACTAAAAAGAATATATTTAGTCTTTTGTAAATTTAAAGACAGCCTATTAGCTCGGATCCATTGAATAATTTTTTCTAATTCAAAATTTACAATTTCAACAAGAGTATTTGGATTTGTATGTGAAAAGAACAAATTTGTATCATCAGCAAATGATATAAAAGACGCCATATCTGATGATCTATAAAAATCATTAATATAAATAATAAACAAAAGCGGGCCCAGCAAACTACCTTGAGGAACCCCACAATTAATATTTCGTAATTCAGAAGTGTGACCATCCAGAAATACAAACTGTTTCCTATCGGAAAGGTAACTCCTGAACCACTCCAAGGCCTTCCCACGTATACCATAATGAGAAAGTTTATGAAGCAAAATATCGTGGTTGATCGTGTCGAAGGCCTTGGAGAAGTCCAGGAGTATTCCAACCATATGATAAGAGGAGTCGAGAGCATGAGCTACCTTTTCAACAAGTGATAATAATGCATGATTCGTGCTATGTTTCTCTCTAAATCCAAATTGGGAATCACAAAAAATATGAACTTTCAAAAAAGCAACTGTTCTTTTATGTATAAGTTTTTCTAAAACCTTCGAAAGAGATGATAATAAAGATATCGGGCGATAATTATTTACATCTTGCTTATCACCCTTCTTAAATAGTGGAATAACTTTTGCAATTTTCATAACATTAGGTACTTCTCCATTCAAGAAAGACAAATTAAAGATATGAACCAATGGATCTACAATGAAAGGTATTATCCCTTTTAAAATAAAGTTATTAATATTATCAACACCAGAACTTTTCTTGTTTTTCAAATGAGAAACAATATCTATTATTTCAAATCTATGAGCTGGAACAAAGAAAATAGAATTTGTATTTGGGGCGTTTAAAAAATCTGTGAAAGATTTTTTGATTGTGGTATATTTTGTGCTAACGTCTCACCAATCGAAGAAAAGTGTTTATTAAAAATATTTACAATCATATCAGAATCATCAATCACTTCATTATCCTTTTTATTTTAATAATATCATTTTATTATGGACCAAATTCATAGCCTGTTTAAGAATTTTCCAAGTATTCTGTATATCATGTTTATAAAACTCTAAGCGATTCACGAAATAATTCTTCTTTTCAAAACGCAAAATTCTAATCAAAGCATTCTTATACGAAGTATATTTACTTTTAGTTCTATCTGTAAGATTTGCTTTATACTTATAGTACAACTTATTCTTTTTATTAATACATCTTAGAAGAGATTTCGAAATCCAGGGAAGTCTAGGGGTAATTTTATAATTATTTACTTTATCTCTTTGTAAGGGAATACATGTATCTAACTCTTCATTCAGAATATCTAAAAAATTATTATACGAACTATTTACATCATCAGTGTTATAAACACTTGACCAATCTGCGTGCTCTAAACTGGCTCCAAGTCTTGCTATATTCTCTGGGGAAGCTCGACGTCTTAATGAACGAGGCCGTCCACCGTGGACTGAATTTGAAAGAGTAAACTGAGTAAAAATGGGATAATGATCAGATATATCAGAAAGTATAATATATGAATCAGGATGTGGAATGACATTACTAAAGATATTATCAATCAATGTAGCAGAATTATTAGTTACACGAGTGGGCTTAGAAATAAGTGGGAAGAATGAATTTGATAAAAATATTTCCAAAAAATCATGACATAAATTATCAGTATCATATTTTAATAAATTGATATTGAAGTCACCCATTATAAAGCAATCTTTATTAATCATTACCGAATTATTCAAAATATCAGTTAGGGACGATAAAAAATCTAAAGTATTACTACTTGGGGGTCGATAAACTACACCAATTATTACATTCTTCCGACCTGGCAATAAGATTTCAATAAACAAGGATTCCAAGATATTGTTCATTATAGTAATATCATTACAAACATTGTAAGAATAATTTTTGAAACATATAAACCAACACCTCCTCCAAGTTTTTCCTTCCTACTACTAAAAATAAAATCATGTTCATGTAGGGCAAATGGTGGGTTAGGATCTGTGGTTAACCAAGTCTCGGTAAGCCCAATTATACAGAGGGAAGACATTGGGACGAATTATCTAAGAGGAATTGAAAATCATCAAAATGTTTATTAATACTTCTAATATTTAAATGGAATAAAGAAAATGTATCTTTATTAATATTATTATTACACATAAAGTCTTTGAATTGATGGTTAGTAATGTACTCAGTTAGAGAATTGGCGATAGTCTCATCATATCGATCATCACGAAGAGAATTAAACGCTAAGTTATTATGTAACGTATCCATTTAGAGTTTGACCACAAAAGGATTGCGTAACAAAATAGTAGTATAATATACAATAATGCGCAGTATCTAAAATGGAAGTTTCAAATTTAGTTAGAAAAAGAGAATCGGTCTGTATGGACAACATTGTGATATAAAAATGGAAATTAAGTATAGACAAGAAAAAAATACACAAGTAAACATAGACAAACAAAAGACGAACATTTAACAGATATAAATATATTACAAGAAATCTCCGCAGGCTTGGAGAACAAACGATAAACATCCGCAATGTTAATCAGTTATATGACATAACTTGTCTGTTGCCTTACGAAAAAGTATATATTTAGTCAAGCCTGAATTGAGTGGCAAAACAATTTAAAAGGAAAAACAAATTTGATGACATTCCAAATTCCCCAATAACCAATACGATTGGAGAGTGAGTTCTCGTTTGTGTTCTTCTTCAAAACTTACTCAATACAAAAAAGTATTAATAACTTGCAGGCCCATGCAGGCCTGAGGTTTCTTTCCATTTTCGTGTTGTTACTCTTTGCACGCTATTTTGTTTGAGAGGGTGGAGTATCCGCCTATACATCTTTAATCGTATAAAAATACAAGTTGCCTTTTTAGCATGTTTGTTCCAAATAACCTGCTACGTATAACTTTGTAAAAGTGATATAGTAAACAACCAGTCTTTCACTCTGGTTCTGAAGGGTATGAAACACAACTTGTAATCATATTACAGGTCAATAAAGTCTACTTTTTGAAACTTAACTACCGAGCCTGACATCTTTATTGACATCTTTATTATATGACTTGTTATGCCCATGCTACAAAGTAGCCGGAGGCATGTTTTCGGGTTGTCCGTCCGTCCGTCCGTACGTCCCGTTCTCGTGATCGCGTTATCTCAAGAACCCATTGATGGATTCCCGCCAAACTTAGGTCATGTATGTATCTTGCAGAGCCAATGAAATGATTAGATTTTGGGGTCACGAGCTCAAAGGTCAAAG